ACCCTTCAGTTACGTTTGTATATAAGACACTACAATCATAATAAAACCCAAGAAAATAATTCATTGTGCATGGATGAGCGTTATAAGAATATACATTGGAATGTTATTTAGTTAACACTTAACTCCCATTAATCCCCTAAAATCTTTTTTTTTAAATAAAAAAGAGAATGATTAACATAATCTACGTCACCACACATTATCGAATCAGACTGTCTCTTTCATAACCTGATAGTATTTATAAACAATAAAGTTATCACATCTATTAAGTTTCATTTTCTCGTATGAAACGCTAAAACGAGCATGACAAGAAACTATCATGACACATTGATTATTTGTTTGCACGTTTATTGTATTTACTAAGACTAATATTCAAGTTATTATTAATTCAACACATCGTAAGTATATTGAAAAAGCTGAAGATTTAAATTTGATTAACTTATTCCATGCTTTGTATGAAGAATTTTTTTTAAATACTAAAGAAATTTAAGTTCTTTAAGAAAGTACATACTAACTGCACATGCTATAAATCACATTCACTATAACTTTGCAAATTAAATGGTAGATAATGCATAATTTATATGAGAAAATTCAGAAGTATATAAACACAGTTAATAACGCATATGCTTTATAGTTTAAGACATTAACATATTTGGTTTGTAATGTACATGTTTATTTTCTGATATATACCAAATTATATAATACATTACCGAAATATGACATTTCGTCTATTAATTTTTAAAACGCATTTAAAAGTAATAGGTGAGTTAGAAATTTTTGTAAACAACATGTATTTCACTTTTTTAAATTATGCATTATATACTAAAAAACTACATATGGTTTAGTATGTACTTGACAAATAAGACAGGGTTTAACAAAAAAAAAATGCCTGATAGTTTGAAAAATTATATGTTTGATATAATAAGTTATGAAAGCAATAACTAATTTATCAGTTTTGTTTGAATTAAATAAAAATGTTTCATTTGACTGTTTTCCTTTTGAAGGATTAATTTAATAAACAGGATCTGGTCCTCTACACATCTGGCTCCTTGAAAACTTAAATGAAGTTCAAAGTATCCTTAACAGCATTTTTTCGAGATTAATTGATTTTTTTGCCAGCTTGCCTGCATTAGCATCAGCATTATTTTAAAGGTCTTTACCATTAGTCTCGAATGCTTAATGTCTTAAATTTTAACATTAGTTCTCACATTGTGTTCAGTCAAGAGCAATTAGAGATTTCTGAATTTAACATACGAAACTAGCATAAGACTAATTTTATCTTTAACCATTATTCTCCGACGTTTAACGTCTTAAATCTTAGCATCAGCTCTCATATTGTGTTCTGTCAAGAACAATGAAAGATTTCAAAATTTAACATTAAGACTATACATACAAATTTCAATTCTTAGGCAATTAAAACTTAGCCTTAACATATTATTAGTCTTAACATATTATATTATTGACCTTAAATATATTTCATCTTGCATCATCATTTGTTCTATACTTGGTGTCTCAAAGCACCAACATATCGTTGTATGTGAGAGGATATATTTTTACGCAAATTAGAAAAATTCTTCTTTTCATTTTGTATTCATGCTTCTGTCATTAAACATAAATGCATAAACGTCGATATTGACCTTAAATATAATTTATCTTGCACCCTTATTCGTCCTTGACCTAGGGTCTCAAAGCGCCAAACGTAGATAGTTGTATGTCAGAAAATATTTTCTTACGTAAACAGTACAAATTCTTTTTTTCCTTTTTGTATTTAGGCTTCTGTTATGACAATATAAACTGACTGTCTAATATTATTTCATAAGAAAAAGTGATGCAGTTTAATCTATTCAAGTTAATTTAGGCTTAGTAGATTAAGTTAATTTAGGCTTAGATTAAGTTAATTTAGGCTTAGATTAAGTTTAATTAGGCTTAGTAGATTAAGTTAAATTAGGCTTAGATTAAGTTTAATTAGGCTTAGTAGATTAAGTTAAATTAGGCTTAGTAGATAAAGTTAATTTAGGCTTAGTAGATTAAGTTAATTTAGGCTTAGTAGATTAAGCTAATTTAAGCTTAACACGTACCTTTACCAAAATGTTCCTGGAGGACTGGCCAAGGTGTTCTGAATCAGCAAATTGTTCCCAAAAATAGGCACGGTCAACAGTTACATTTGGCATTGATTTGAACATTTATTTTGTTAATAAAGACATATATTTAGTTTACTACTAGATAATCTGAACTGTACAGGGGTTTCAAAATCAGGTTATTCTTTTTGATATACCCTGCTTATTAAAAATATTAAATAATAACTATTAAAAATGAAGTGCATTTAGAAGAAAAAGTGAATGTGCATTATTATTAAAGAATATAAAGTCATACTTAAGGGTCGAAATATTTGAGGCTGTTTAAAGCATAATAAGTTGATCAAAATTCTCAGTGCTTGTTAAGCTTAGCTCATGATTAAAAATGCTTAATTTACTCTGAACCATAGAGTACTGATGGTGTTAATGATGGCTATAGTTGTTAAATGCATGTTTGGTGTATACATTGAAGTAAAATCTTGTACTTTACAAAATATAGAAATACATTGTTAGATTTCAGCTTAAATTACTTTGTTATAGCCGGCAGGATACAGAATAGTCATTTTTTGAGAATGACAAAAATTTTCTTAATAAGTTTAGCCAAAAGAGGTACATAGCAATTGATATTATGAAAGCATTCATAAAAATATCATAATATTTCTAGAAAGTGCATATAAACAGACACGATATGCGGAATAACACACCATGATCAAGTAATATTATACTACAAGTTACGGGTTTTACATTGAGATACAAGATTTTTACAAGATTTTCATAGAGCAGGTGAAGTTTACCAAAACTCATTCTTGAGTTTTGATAAGATGATGCTATGGAGGTTATTTAAATGATCATTCACTTGTTTCTTAACTGATGATATGCAATTACCAAGATGAAAACCATTAATTTAAAAGTCAATACTGCTGTGCCATAGTATCTTTTTTTTTTCCAAAATATGTTGCTTTTTTATTTTGCTNTATAAAAATACAGATAATTGAGCTCGAAGCTCAGCATCTGAAAAAAATATAAAAATTATTTTTATATAATGGACTTTCAAACGGAGACATTCATAGGAGACAGTGGATCTTCAAAATAACATTCTTTATTTGCGTTGCTAAACCTGACTTTTTTCGTGTAATCCATTAACCCCTTAACGATCAGTTAATTTTCAAGAAAACGGTCATAAAAGTGCCTATTTTGCAAAATACACGTACTTTATTAGTGCTGACATCAAGTATAAAATAAACTAACTATCTTCAATAACCTTAAAAATATCCTGGTACTGCCATCTGGTGTGTAAAATGAGAAATAAAATCCGGGCAAAAGAAATGAATTAGCTTTATTCTTATTGGCGCGTTACTACTGAACACTTCATCCAGGAACTTTCACAGGAGCGAGAAGTAGACGGCGAAACCTCACCCCGTCATTTTCCCAGGAGCGAGAAGGAAGGGGTTAATGCATAAAATATCTCATGCAGAGTTAGAAATTTCTCTGAAAAATGGGTAAATTTATGTAATTGTTATGTTACTATTTTCAACCAAAACATTACAAAAAGAGGGTATTCAAACTGTTAACTGCGAGAAAAATAGTTTATTGATTGTTTTCACTTACTACGGTTAAACAATCAAAATTTCATCCGTGTCAACTAAGCCTGCAGCAAATGGAAATTGAAATTCACACATTCTTTGAAGGATAGAATCTGAGCCGTGTAATAAGTGCTTTTATTCAAAACAACGGATATCTAATAATCTTATACCAATAAGTGCATTATCTTACGAAGTCACTTAATTTTTTTTGCAGTTGAATACATACTTTAGCTATATATATTCTGGTGTCAATACATTACTGAGTGTTGACACCAGAATATTTCCTCCATTCCTTCAATACACGAGGAGTTTTAGTGTCTTGTACTCCTCATTTTGTGACTCCGGACTATTTCAATACGAAATTCCCATTCAAGCATAGATGGAAGCACTAAAGAGTATAAAACACAAAAAAGTCAAGTGTTTCCTTTTTCTCTCGGTAGGTGGCTCAACTAGATAAACAAATCCAGCCATATTCTACGGTTTGCTCGACGAAACGCAACTCCAATGTCCATTGTCAAACATAACTCCAATGTTCAGTTAAATTTCAATTTTAATGTTCTGAAATCATGGTTATAAATAACGTTTGGTGCATATGTTCATTGAAATGATCTATAAAATATATACGCTGACATAAAAAGATTTTTTTTATTTTTCATAAAAAATGCTTTCATTTCATAAAATTTGCATTGTTATTTATGAATGATGAAATTATTTTAATAAAACCTTAGCTGTGATCAAAAATTTAAAAACTGAAATTATTTAAATGCAAAAATTTTGTTGTGCAAAGGACATTTTTAGTTATGAGTAAATAAAAAGTTATAAAATCACCCCTTACTATCTTTTTAAAATTTTAATATTTTTTAATAAAACATTTTATATAAAGTACCATGATTATGTATGGTTTATAATAAAAATCAATAGTTTTCAGGTATCTAAATATATATCAAAATATGCAAAATAAAAAATTCATATTACTTGTTTTTAAGCTTCACTGTCCCTTTAAATAAATCAGCTGAAAAACTTTAAATAAATCTTTTTATCGTTTACTAAAAACGAACATTTAACGTGATTTCAAAGCGTTTCGGTAAAAATTAACGAGTTTTTTGGTGTTCCCATAGGGCTAAAAAATTGTAAAATTTTACCATATTCTAGTAGTTTTGACTATACTTTTCTTCCCAGTGTGAAAATAAATGTTCTTCTAAAGTAGAAAAAAAAATAAAAATTGCATAACAAAGAAAATAATTATTTAAGAAACAGCTTTTTGCTTGCGTGCTCCTTAATATTTTATTACAATCCACGGTAAATGAAAACTTATGATAATTGATATGTAATTTAGCTTGATTACCTTTATGAGTTCGTTCTTTCCATTTCTTTTTGTTTTCTTCTAGAAGAGATACCCAAGGCCTTTTTACTTTAGAGCATACAAAAGGTGCTTTAGGCGATGTGGAAACATTATCATTGCTAGTACTGGGGCCAGGCTCAGATGGAGGGGATTGAGATTCAGTTGAATTATCTCGTTTGATTGCATTAGCCAAAGCTCCTGTTAGAGATTGAGATTTTCTTCGTAGTGCTATAAAAACATATTAAATACACCATAAGAAATGCAATTGCTGATTTGATATATTGCATGTATTATCCTTGAATAGGATGTTACATTCAATTAGGAATTCTGACTCCAGGATTAATTGGATATTTATTATTCAATTATAGTATATCTTAGAAAACGTTTTTTGTTTTCAAATTTATGACAGGGCGTTTCGGATGGGTATAAATTATTTATCACTATGTTAAGAGATCAAATTCCCATTTAACATGATACGTTTAAACAATGTAATATTTTATTGCATTTCTAATTCGGCAACGGAGAATAAAATTTGTAAAAGAAAATATTGTTTTTTGTTATATAAGCCTTACTTTAAATGCCTAAATAAAAGTTTATAGGAATAAGATTTAAGTTGTATAGAGTATTCTATGTTCATTTTTAGCTTACAGAAAATTACGTAACTCAATTCTTAAATATATTATAAAAATTTTATTGGTTTTTTGAATTTTTTTCATGATCAAGGTTTTATTTTAAATATTTAAACTTAAATGTATAAACTCGCCTAAAGCATACAAAAGATGCTTTAGGCGATAATAAAACATTATCAGTTCTAGACTCTGATGGGGGGGGATAAGATTCTCTTCTAATTATCTCTTTCAATTATTTGGTTTAATTATCTCGTTTAATTGCATTGGCCAAAGCTTCCATTAGAATTGAGATTTTCTTCATTGTGCTGTAAAAACATATTAAATACATCATAAGAAATGCAACTGCTGATTTGCATATTGCATGTATTATCTTTGAATAGGATATTATATTAAATTAGAAATTCTGACACCGGAACTAATTGGATATTTGTCATCTAATTATGGTATATCTTAGAAAACTTATTTTGTTTTCAAATTTATGATAAGGCTTTTCAGGTGGTTATAAATTGTTTATCCCTAAGTTAAGCGATCAAATTCACATTTAAGAATTCAAAACGTGCAACGTTTAAACAATGTTATATTTTATTGCGATTCTCAATTGACAATGGAAAATAAAATTTGCAAAAAGAAAATTTTCTTGTTTCTTGTGATCCAAACCTTACCTTAAATGCATAAATAAAAGTTCATAGGACTACGATTCAAATTGTATGACATATTCTATGTTTAATTTTAGCTCACAATTATTTAATTTCTAAATATACTATAAAAATGTTATTTATTTTTAAAATTTTTTTTTGACATCAAAGCCTTGTTTTAAATATATAAACTTAATACATAAATATATAAACTTAAATGTATGAACTTTAAAGTTAAAAGATTTAAACATATGTATGATAAAATTTAAGTAGTATGAAATATGCAAGATTTTTTTTAATCAACATCAAACTGCATAATTAAATTTAAAAGTTTCACTTAAAATTCGTCTACATCTTTTATATTTTAATTTTTTTTTCAAATATACAATTTCGATATTGCAGTGCACTGGATAAAATTTTGGTGTATACACTGTAAAATATTCCGGATAAAATTTCAGTTAAAGTACCGGTTTCTAGTTTTTTCCAGTGACAGTAAACTTAGGGGTTTAATATATACAGTAAAAAATGTTGGTGTATGGTTGTCATCATTTTTGGTGCTGTTGTAATCTCTCTAAATACATTTTAAATACATAACAATAGTTATCGAGCAAATATTACTTAAAAATGATAAACTAACAATTGTTTGAAAGAATTAGTCGAAATATATTACATAAAATGACCGTGCTTTTTAAACTAAATGTTTTTGCAATCAAGCCATTGATTTATTCTAATGGACATGAATATATTTGATGTCAGTAAACAAACAAACAAACAAAAATTGAATAAAGAAACCGAAACTATGCAGTTAAAATGTACATAAAAACTGTGACAACATGCACTTAAAATTTTTTGTCTTACCTCAGCACAAAAATGATGACAACTATGCATTAAAACATTTTACAATATATAATGAAATGAAATTTCAAAAATCTACAAAATAAATGTTGTATAATATATTCAAAAAGTGGTAATGGTCATTTTCAGTAGAAAATATTTTTGATACAAGTTGTTGTTGTGGCAATTAAGGCAAGGGGAGCTATTGTTCCTTTTTCCCGTGGCGCCATCTATGGCAAATAATTTTACTTCTGCTTCACTCATACGTCACAGTCGTTTATAGGGCAGACCCTTTCATACATTCATTCATACATTCATGACCCATTCATTCATCTACAGATCGTAACTTAGACATGAAACAGAGAATTATCAATCTCCAATTCAGTATCCCCAGAGGCATGATTTGTTATGGGAACATGGAGGGCTTTGTGACCCGACAGATTTAACGTGCGTCCTTCCAACCAGGCTATCCCGGCCCCATTTTTGCTATATCTTTATTAATTATTAATTATATATGTCAAATCTTTATTTAACCTTTAATAATTATTAATCAAAATTAGAACAATCGCATCCCCTCTGCCTTAATGACCGACAGCAACAAGAGTTGACAGTTTTCTCAGTCCATTTAAAAAAAAACAGTATTTTTTTGTGAAATAAATAGTTTTATACTATTATAATTGTTGATAATTTTTTAAATTTAACAGATTTTTTTACAGTGCAGTAATAAAAAAAAAGATTCAGTATTTCAAAAAATTCGTTTTCCTTACCTGAAGGTTTAGTATCTTCTGTGCTCACATCTTCACTTACTGATTCCGTAATAGGAGGTGCACGGACGCTTTGCGTTTTGTGTTCAATCTTTTCGAGTAAATCTCCACATACTTCTAAACTTGGAGACACGATGAAATCAATGAAACCTAAAACAAAAATAAACCATATTTTTTAAAATATTTACAATAAATACACCTTAATATTGAAAAAATAATTCCAAGAAGCTAAAACGGTAAGATATTACTGGATTGAAAATTAATAAAACCTACTTGATTAAAGATTGAAACATGTCAACTGTTATTTGCTATTTATATATTTTTGAAGCGAATGAAGTTTTTTTAATCAGGTAATACCTTAATATGGTTGAAATTCATTTTTTAATCTTGTAGTTTGGATTATAAGCAGAATTAGGTAATATTTTAACTGAAAAAAATTGAACAAAGCAGATAGTTCGTAATGATGTGGAAAAAAGAAGTATGGTGGTTAGCAGGATCAGTACACACATTTCGTTTTTATTATAAACAATATTTTTATAAACACTTAGTTTATGAAAAAAAATTAAAAATAGAAAATTGCATGAAGAAAAAAAAATCTGGTATAATTATCGTGCTGTATGGTAATGACATTTCTGGTAAAAAAAGCCATAATTCTGGTTAATAAAGCTAAAAATTAAGGTATTTAAAGCATTCATTTCGTAATTTTTCCGTTTATATGGCAACCATTCTGGGAAATTCTGATTTTCAAAATTACAGTTTTTAATATAACACAATTATAAGGAAATACAAAACTAAAACGAAAGTGTTAAGTTAAATAAATAGTTTTTACGACTATGCTTTAGAGTATCATGATGAAATTGTTCTTACCACATTTATCAAATTTTATCACACATTACTCAGTAAAGAAATCCGGATAAAATTACTGCGCAAAGTATCGGCACTCAAGGTGCCGGTACTTTTTACTGTAAAATCTATTCTCACCGGAGCATGTTACGGAACAAAAAATCTGATATACTATAAATTTTACAATAATAATTACCGTAAAATTACTGAATCACCCTAATTAAATATTACTGCAAAAATTACGGTTTAATATTTTACGGCAAAAATGGATTTTACGGATGATGCACCAAAAGTGACGGTAGTTTTTACCGCATTTTGATCCGGAATTCTTTACAGTGTAGCAAAAAATATTTTGCGGTTAATTTTACCAAAATCGTTATCAAAGTAAGCGGTAACTTTCGGGAAGATCTCAACGAATCCATAATTTTTTTTTTAAAATTCAAATCTGTTGCAAATTTTCGTAATCCCCTGATATAAACATTTAAACTGCAAAGGTTCAGATTTTTTAAATTGCATCTCCAGATATCATTCAAATTGCATCAATCAAATTGCAGATTTAAATTGCATCTGATCTGCATCTAATTAATCTAATAATTGCATCTAATTAATCTAATCTAATAACTGCATCTAATTTGAATGATCAAGATATCATTCAAATTGCAGATTTTAATTGCATCTCAAATAAAGGATAAATAGTGACCTTCTGTAATTGGATATTCTCAATACTAAAATTTAATAAATTTGTGAAATGTATTTTTTTGGACCGAATACAATATTTTTTTTAAAACTTTAAATCGGAATATTTTGTTTTGAGTTTATTAGCCTGTAAATATTCTGCTTTTAGTACCACAGAATACAGGATACTCTCATCACTCTAAATATATATTTTCAGAATCATTGTCAAAAGTGAAGTTGAAAAAGTATGAACATTATTTAGCTTAAATCAAAAATGTAACAAATTAGAAATAATTATTCACATTTTTATCGAATCATTAATATGTATTTAAAAACATCAAATTCAGTTTAATTGTCTGATGGAGTTGTTTGTTGTAAACACCTTTCATATCTTCTCTGTTTTTTTTCTATCAGTTTAAAGTTTCGCTGTATGTAGCCAGCCTTTTTCAATAGTGATTCGTTAGATTTTGGTGGTGCTTTTTTTTTCTTAACATAAATGTTTAATTTACAATCTACAATGCATATACTTAAATTTCATTTCAGACAAATATTCTCAAACTGTATATTAAGGATGGACGAACCACTGCGGCTCAGGTGATAGAGCATACGCCTTCTATAAAGTGACGCAGGCTCAAATCCCAGCTGTGGCTGATTGATACGAACTCTGCTTCCTGCTCACACCGACCATAGTGCTGACGTAAAATATCCTGAGTGGTAGACGGATCATGGGTTAGAATCCCATTGCTGTCATGCTAACCGTGGAGGTTTTCGTGGTTTTTCCTCTTCACATAACGCAAATGTGAGTTAGTTCCATGAAAAAGACCTCCACAAAGGCTAGTTTGTCTCAATGCTTGACCTAGTAATTCCCCTGTTCTCTGTAATGGGTTTAAAATTGCGAACTGAACATTGATGGTTGAAAACTCAGAATTGAGTCGGCTGTTCAACGCCAGTTATTCATATATAAATAATAAAATAAAAGATTTAAGAGTCTGATTTTTTAACCTACCTTAATATATGATAATAAAAATATAATTATAATAAATAAATACAAGTACTTTAAGCTTCAGATATAATTAAGAAAACTTTTAAAAAGGATCGTTTTTTTTTTAATTCTCATTCTCGAATAAATAATTCGAACTGTGTATTATAAATCTTCATATAAATCTTTTCCTTTAAATTTTTTTCCGTAGTCGACTGCTCAATACCGGTTATAAAATAAAATATTAAGAGTGGACAATACAGAACACCTGTACAAAATATTTATTTATATTTTTCGATTTGTTGTGATCTTGAAAGGTGAATCTTATAAGCAATAAAATACCTTCTCCAAGAAAAATCAGTTTTTTTTAAATCTCAGATGACATTCTATTAAGGTCATGAAGTATTGGCAGATGAAAATCTTTATTGATTTATTTGTATTTTTTGCAGCTTATTTTCATCCGGGCTTGAAATATTGTTTTATTCTTCTTCTTTGGATTGTGGGGGAGATTACATTCGGAAGCTCCGCTTAACTAAATCCACTGAGCTTTCATCTGACCAGCTGCTGTTCATATAAAACATACAAAAATAACTTTCCCACATTTCTCGTTTTTCTTAGGTAGCCATTTCTTTTTTTTCATCGCAAAAATGACAGCTGAGTCAATATAAATATACTTTTATCAAAGTGATGATTTTTTTTTTCAAGAAGCATTTATAAAGCTGCATATTTGGAAGTTTTTAAGAACTTTGAAAAAGTTAGAAAAGTGGTAAAAAAATTGTCTTACTTTATAAGAATTTCTAGATGAAGTAAAAATGGTAAGCATAATTTTTCTTTAATTTTAACACGCTGTTGATCATTAACGGAATTAAAGCTACCAATGTTTAATTCCACAGCTTTAAAGTTATCTGTCCGACCGAAAAGACAAGGACATTCTTATAATTATCGCCCCTTCGTTAAGAAATTTTCGAAGCTACTAACCCGCATTTGATAGGTAAGTACTTTACTTACGTAGCACTTAAACAGCACAATGGGCTATCGGTGACGGTCTAGAAAAATCACTGAGGATGTTCCGAAGACATGCCATCACAAGTTCGATCCTCTGCAGAGGAATGGCTTCTCCACTTTGGTATCCCGGCGACCTGCACCTGAAGTCAAGCACTTTACGGTTGAACAATTTAACGAGGACCGATACCACGCACCTTCGGTCTCGATGCAGGCTGATTAAAGTCTTCACCAACCCGCTTACTGACCGCAGCCAGTGGTGCTTGACTTTGGTGTTCTATAGGAAACCGTGTCCTAACGATCAGTCTACTGTGGGTCTACCCGCAATTGCATTACAGGCAGAGGTAAAATTAATAAACCTCCTGTGGTTAACTCACGCACAAGGAAATCCTGATCCTATACACATGACTCATCTATTGTGTGGTTTTGAGGAGAACTCTTCCAGACTAAAAGTTTGCGGCTGTCTGCTGCTTTGGCAACAAGCGAGATCGCATTTCTAATGGGGGTGCAATGGAGGAATGATGGTGTCGATTGGTTTATTCAAGCTGACCTATGCCAAGAGCAAGACTAAACTATTCACACCACACCCATATTTGAAGTGACTTTTCCTTGTAACCATGGTACCCGCCAAGACGCGAGACTGATGTTTGGAGGAGTTCTCTTGAAGGCCGAACTATACCAATGGGTATATTTTACTTTAGCATTGTGGTCTGGGTAAGGTATACGAATAGACCAGTAATGACTGATAATCTAACCTTTTCAAGAGGCGATTGCTATATTCCCTGAACCATTCTGGCTGCACTGTCTAATTGCAAAAAAATTATTAAAAAAGTTTTTTTGAAGAGATTTAATGAAGAAAAAGTTATTAATTGATATTTTAGTTAACTTTGGAGTGTCATCATTAGAAAAAAAAACCATAAATGAAACACAAACTTAAAATCATCTTATTTGTTGAATCGAAAGAAAATACAAATACTTTACCAAAGCATTATTTCAAAATATTTTATTTTGATGAAAAAAAAATGGGTTGGAATATTTAGTATTACTTTTTGAAACTAAACTGTAAGGAAATCAATGTTTCTTTTTCTTCTTCTTTAACAATTCATAATATATTTAACACTATTTTTTATTAAATTTTCCTAATTGTGGTTTGTTTTTGTTTCAGCACAAGATATTTTAACATTATAAAATATTTTATCATTATTAGCAGCTTCTTAAATATCGTTTTTTGCATTAGCGCAACGTCAACTAAGTACAACAATATATAGTTATAACACACACAGGTTACGTCATGTTAAGTAAACCTGGATATAGAAAAAATTAATAAATCGATAAATATAATGAATGCATGAAGTGCCTCGATTGATTTGTCCAGTTGAGGATGAGAAAATCACAATCAAGATGCCATTTTGTCCGTCCAGGGTCAATTTACTTGCCTTTCCGTGGTTTCCAGTTGGATTTAGGATTGAGCACGAAAATTGTAATTTTTAAGGCAAGATGTATCTCGCAAAGGAAATACCTAAATATTTCCCATAATATTTTAACCTAAAAAATCGTACAGATTAACTGAGTTTGAGAAAAGAAAATGCATTACCTATTTGAGATTCAGCTATGAGCGTGGTATTCCTGTCACACAGAGGAGAATAAGGAAGTCCAAGGACCTTTTCTTTGTCACCCTGAAATAATAATTAATAATTAATTAATAATAATGATAATATTTAATAATAATTAATAATATTTAATAATAATTAATAATATTTAAAAATAATTAATTATTATCACTTAATAATAATAAATCATTATCAATTAATAATAATAATTATTATTAATAATTGATATTATTAATTGAATAATAATAATAATTATTAATAATAATAATCAATAATAATAATAATAATAACAATAATAACAAACATTANTATTAATTGATAATAATTAAATGATAATTATTATTATTAATTAATATTATTAATTGAATGATATTAATAATTAATAATAATAATAATCAATAATAATAATAATCAATAATAATAAATAATAATAATAATAAAAATACTTATTATTATTATTAATAATAATTATTAATAATAATAATAATTAATAATAATAATAATTAATAATAATACTAATAATTAATAATAATAATAATAATAATAATTAATAATAATACTAATAATTAATAATAATAATAATAATAATTAATAATAATGACTTAATCTGAAATTATACGTTTACAATCATTCAGGGTTCCGAAGCATGCAAAGAGACTCAAAGATGCACAAAGCAGAGCTTATTACGTAAAAGAACCAGTTGAACCTCTTTCCTTGATTATGAGGGTAACATAAATATTTAAACGTAAGCAGTTAAGAGGTTAAACCTTTCGCGTTGGGCATTACCTTAAACATACCGTTGATCTCGAAAATGGGGAGTGTTAACCATCATGACCCTTTTAGCCGACAATCGTTTGTTGCGAGAATACTTTATATTTAGGCGATTATTATATAATCACATTAACTATGATGAGTATTAGAGTACTTAAGTTAATATTAGAGGTTCAGATTAGAATGAATATAAGAATATTTGAGATAGAATTAGATAGTCATATTAGTTCCGATGAATATTAAAATACGTAAAAGATTATTGGATTTAATAATTTGGTTATAATGAATGTTAGAGTACTTAAAAGATTATATGGTCACCTTAGTTGTGATAGTTGTTTATTCACATTAGCTCCAGTAAATATTAGATTACTAAAATGAACAGGTTTCATTATAAGATTACATTAGGTTACGCTACATTAGAAGTTAAAATTAGGATGAATATTAGAGTACTTGAGATACTCGTAGAATTAGATAGTCATATTAGTTATGGTGAATATTAGAATACGTAAAAGATTATTGGATTTCATAATTTGGTTATAATGAATGTTAGAGTATTTAAAAGAATATTATATGGTTACGTTAGTTGTGTTATATATAAGAGTTTATGAAAGACAATTATTTATTCACATTAGCTCCAGTAAGTATTAGATTACTAAGATATCTAATACTTAATTATAAAAATCTAATACTTAATTAGAACACTTAAAAGGTTATTGAATTTTCATAATTTGGTTATGATGAATGTTAGAGTATTTAAAAGATTATTATATAATCACGTTAATTGTGATGAATATCAGAGTTTATAAAAGACGATTGTTTATTAACATTATATATTAAATTACTAAAATGAACAGGTTATAATTTAATAAATAATTTAATAAATAATTTAATAAATAATTTAATAAATAATTTAATGAATAATTTAATAAAAAGAGGTTATTTTATCAACATATTAATTAGGATGAATGCTAGAGTAATATATTTTTTTTGGATGCAAATGCTATCGAAATGTGACGAATCATTATTGACAAAGACAAGATTAAAGACAACAAAGAATATTTGATGGCTCATGGAAATTGAAATGAATCAAGAAGAAATTATTAGCAACACTGGAATTTTACAACGACAACCAGAAAAGATTTGATGCCTTTATTACGTCTTCCTCAATAGTAATTCGTCTGATTTTAATAACGGTTTTGAGATTCGCAATGTTACACTTTTTTGGTAAGGATTCTGAAATTATGTATACAACACTTAAATTACAGAATAATCTGTATTAATTATTATATTATAATTTGAATACATTAAAAGTTCTTAGTAAATATTTTACTAAAAAATAAAATCGCTCTTTTAAACGCAGTTATTTCTTTCTGAACAATGCATAACTTTCCTAAAACCTTTAAAGGATTAAAGTCATCTCCATTAAAAAATGTATTCATTTTAAAAGGCACTACAAAAACTCGACAAATTTCTTTTCCGAAATTGAATTAATTACTTGATATTTGTATCAGATAAATTAAAAAATGTATTGTAACGACTTTAATCTTTCTGCAAAGAGTAATTAAAATGAACTTCGAAAAAAATATATCTCTTTATCAACTTTATTTCGAATCTTTTGTAAATGGTTTAAAAAAGTTGAAAGAGTAGTTTCTTTTATGTAATTCTGAACACAGGTAATAATTCACTTATTTCATTAGGAGAAAACATTATTAGAAGTTGAATTATAAAAAATCTATTGAAGAACCACGTAGAAAAAAATATATTACAGGGAATTTGATTTTAATAATGAAATAAAATGTGACATTAATAAAATATTTTGAGACAAGAATAAATTAAAAAAATAAAAAATAAAAATGTATGTGGATATCTTTTTGATTTAAGAGTACCTATATTAAGTTAAAACTGTTTGTATTTTTTAACATTCCCCAGTTAAATAAATGGTTTTTATTTAGTAAATAATCCCAAAAAATGGAAGCCGCAAGACATTACTTGATTAAAAACGTTATTTGCTTCAAAAATATACAAATTGGAAATAACAGTCAACATGCTTCAAACGGTCGGAAATAGGAGCCCATTTCAAAGACTTAACAGAAAAAACAAAAGTGGTTTAAAAAAAATAAAACATTAAGCTGGGAGAAGGAGAGGACCTAATGTTATGATCTCTTCATAACACTTGGAAATGCATTTTACCCTTATTTGCTCTTCTCGGCCTCTGTGGCTTTTCAAGTTTTGTTTCTCACCTTTATTTTTCCATTTGTTGCTGGCAACTTTATATTTTATATTTTAAATCACTTTAGTATCTTCTCATTCACACCTGGCTAGTCTTGAAATTGGCGCCCGTTTTTGAGATCTTGAAACATGTCGATTGTTATTTCTAATCTGTATAATTTTGAAGCTAATGAAGCTTGAAGTAAAATGATTTTTATGTTAGAGATTGGAAACAAAAATCTATTTTTTAGAAAGAAATTGACAAACACCTGAAGAAAAAACTCTTCCATGAGCAATAATGTCCATCGATGGTGCAAATCCCAGTTTTTACTTGGATGACTTATATCACAGCAGTGAAGTACCAAGGAAAGGGCTTTCGACTTCTCAATACTGAAAAACAAAAATAATCCCATTAAAAAACTAGGAATCAGTAATAAGGAATCAAAATACGGATCAAATTACGGTAAAAAGTACCGTCACCCAGGGAGTCGGTACTTTTTTCCGTACGATCTATTTTTACGGAACAAGTTGCGGAGCGAAAAATCTGATCTACCGTCATTTTTGCGGTAATAATTACCGTAAAAATCACTAAATTATTCCAATTAAATAAATATTACTGTAATCTTAATATTAGGTTGCTTGAATGTAAAAATTACAGTATAATAATTAACGGTAAAATACATTCTACGATAAAAAGGGAATTTACGGTAAAAATGGATATTACGGTAAATATGGATTTTACGGTAAAACGGATTTGACGGATGATGCACCCAAAGTGCCAGTATTTTATACCGTAATTTGATCCGTAATTCTGTGTATTTGAAGATAAGCTATCAATTTTAAGGTCAAAAGTTCAATATTTGAAAAGTAAATAATGAAAGAAAGAGAATATTAACTGAAAAAGGTTTTTGAAAAAAAAATTGGAAGGTTAAATGCAAATTAAAAAAAAAATCACTTTTTTGTGTACACCTTACATACAACCGAGAAAAGCTTAATTAGAACAATTGTATCTAGACTAGTGAGGTGTTGTTCGGATTCCTTTTTACTACCTATTTAAATTCTGAATGACTGATATATGATTTTACTGATTTGATCTGTTGAAAATGGGAAGACTTATCTGTGTCTAGAACCATGATTTATAAACATTCCCGTAGAAAATATCTACAAGCTAAGACAACTTTTTTTACCTACCTAAATTCTGAATGTCTGATTAATGATTTTACTGATTTGATCTGTTGAAAAGAGGAAGACATATTTGTGTCTAGAACCATATCTATGATTTATAAACATTCCCGTAGAAAATATCGATAAACTAAGACAACCTTTCTTACCTACCTAAATTGTGAATCACTGATTAATGATTTTACTAATTTTATCTGTTGAAAAGGGGAAGACATATTTGTGTCTAGAATCACATCTATGATTTATAAACATTCTCGTTGAAAATATCTACAAGCTAAGACAGCCTTTTTTACCTACCTAAATTCTGAATGACTGATTAATGATTTTACTGATTTCATCTGTTGAAAAGGGGAAGACATATTTGTGTCCAGAACCACATCTATGATTTATAAACATTCTCGTGGAAAATATCTACAAGGTAAGACAACTTTTGTTATCTGCCTAAATTCTGAATGACTGATTAATGATTTTACTGATTTTATCTGTTGAAAGTGGGAAGACATATTTGTGCCTAGAACCACATCTATGATTTACAAACATTCCCGTAGAAAATATCTACAAGCTAAGACAACTTTTTTTACCTACCTAAATTCTGAATGACTGATTAATGATTTTACTGATTTGATCTGTTGAAAGTGGGAAGACATATCTGTTGCTAGAACCATATCTATGACTAGAGTGCGAAATTCTCTAAAATAGAAAGATAACAAAAAATTAGATATTGCCATAATATTTTTCAAATAAACATTAAATATTTCTGATTTTTATTGTTATTGCATTAAAACATTAAAAAAAAGTTACAATATTGTACAAAGTAATTAAATGCATAAATTTATATTCATACATTTAATTACTTTTAATAAAGCTAGGAGTTAAGTTAAAATATACTATGTCGAAAAAGAAGATAAGTTGATACATAAATGCGAAAATACAAAAATGAAATAAATGTATGTTGAAGGTTTTAGAATATAGAAACGCAAGGGAAAAGGAATATAAAGACATGAAGAAAATATTGATGCAAATGAATAATTCATGTAGATGAATAATTTTTGTAATAAAAATAAAGGCTAAAGTTCATCGCAATTCACAATTGAACTTGAATAATAAGTGCACTGTTAAAAATTTTTCGGAAAAATTGGTTAAATAACAATTTATTTAATTGTCATTTTACCAAATTCAAGCAAAACAGTCAAAGAACCATAAATAAGATGGTATTCAAACTATTAACTGTGAAAAAACCGTTTATTAACTGCTTTCACCTATCAACCAAGTTAAACAACCAGAATTTTATAGCACCAACTAGGCCTTCCTAATATCAATGAAGGAAAACGATGGATAAAAAATTATAATGCTATAATTGCTTAATTATTCGAGTATTTTTTATTATAAACAAAACTGTAGATTTCTTACTTGAACTCATCTTTACTTAAATGAAACAAGATGTTACAATCATCTTCTCGCATCATACGAAAAGCTGTGCTGACGTGATGATTTTCTAAGACAGCTCGATCATTATACAATAGAGCAGTTTCAGATCTGAAAGATACAATACGAGCCATGATCATGTAAAAAAACTCTACAACAATCGATTTTATTTATTTACAAGAAATGTTTTGTCAAGATGTTTCAATATTGTGAAATACATCGTGATAAGGTGATTATTAGATTCCTTTTTATTTTTTTTTGTTGCTTAGCTTTATACGATAGCATTCAAAAGTTCACAAAAAACTATTAAAACATAGAGATATTTTCATAAATAAGTTTTTCTTTCATTTCTTGACAAAGTGCAGTGTTAAGAACAAAAAATAAGTATCTTTACATAATTGTTGCTTTATTTACAAAAACTTAGAATGATAGGCTATTTGACAAATAGAAAGATGTCATTTATTTCCTTGGCAGATAGACAGCTATTTGACATACAAGTGCGATGGAGTGCTGCTCGGCAGTTTTTTTTCTTCTTTTGAATAAAAAACGAGAGTTAAAAGTATTTGAAGAGAAAAACTTTATTTCACTAAAGTTCTTGAGTGCAACGAAAAAAGAAATACATAATCATACTATTCATTATTACATCGTAATATTTATTGCATTAAAATGTAAAAGAAAATTACTGTGTAAAAAAATACCATAACACTGTGAAACCCTAATGCTTCAATTGACAGTTATAATAAGTTTTCGTTTATGAATGAGATTTTAGCTTAAACATTTTAGAATTATAAATGTCAAAAATTTATTTTCAAGCCATTAGAAAATCAATTTGCCAGCTTAAAGTTTATTTGATATATTATATCAGGCTTGTTTTAGTGCAAAAACTCACCTCAATCTGTGCAACGTAGAATTATAATTTTGATACCCATAACCATAAAAATCATTATACCGCGCGGATTTGCAGGAAATCAAATAAATTGTTAAACAGCTCAGGATATATTGCAATGTAATTTAATATAATATGATTCAATATATTTTATTGAATACTATTACGGTTCAACTTTACTCAGTTAATTGATTCCTGATTTCTTTGAACATTATTATGCTTCAACTTTATTCATTTAATTGATTCTTGGTTAATTGGAACATTATTATGGTTCAACTAGATTAAAAAATTCTAACTATGAAGCATACTAGTATACGGAGAAAAAAAATTAAAAATTTTTTTTTTCTCAACAAGTTTTCAAATTCGTAGGTTCTTATCCAGATTTTCAGTATTAACATAAAAATCATATTTTTTTCACATTAAATGTCATTGTATTTTATTTTATAACCGTCGTTGAACAGCCGACCCAATTTTGGGTTTATGACTACTAATGTTCAACTCCGTAACCTTGTAGTTTTGAACCAATTCAAAAGACAAGGAAACTTCTAGATCAGTACCCCCAAAGGTATGATTTGTCATGGGAACATGGAAAACCTTTTGACTCGACATAGTTAATGCGCATCAGTCACCATTTACTTCACGAGGAGTCTTCGGTTGTCGGGAATCGAACCTACGATCTCTTGGACATGAGCCCAGTGCCCTACCAACCAGGCTATCCTGGTCCTAATGTCCTTGTATGTCAAAAATAAAAGAAAAACTTATTCTTCTTTAAAATAAATATATTTTTAGAAATTAAGGAAGTACTACTTACTTTAAATAAACGCTATTTTAACTCCAAAAAATAATTAAATAAAAAAAATTATCTACCTGGACATAACATGGAAATTATTCGTGGTCCCAGTGTGATCGTAGTCATGAATAATGGCTGCAACAATAGCGGCAAATATTTCCAAGTCGGAGAGCCAATTCTGTAATTGTAGAAAAAATAAATCATACACTACACTGGTCAACAATAAACATTATACGAGAGTTCCATTTATAATTTTAGTACATTTTATTTCAAATGTAATTTTTCACCTTATGCTCGAATTTTAAAATCACGCGTTTATTTAAAAGGAAATGAATAATATGAAATTTAATTAATAGTTATTGCTTAATTTTTTTTATTTAATTAAGCTGAATTTTTATATGCAATTTGAATGCAATATTTTGAAACACACTCATAAAAATGAATGCAATATTCAATCATTCAATTTGACATTTAAAAAAAAATTAAAAGTTATACCAAAAATTAATAATCAAGCGCACAATTTCAAAATTAAACCAAATAAGGAATTAATGAAATCAAAATTTACCAATTGATTCAAAGTTTAAACTTTATAATTAAATCAAAAATTTAAACTTTATTATCGAATAAAAATTTAAATATTAAATTCAGAATTTAATAAATAACTCAAAGTATTTTGTAGTTTGAATTATTTCCTTAGCAAATGGAACTCACGTCAATTTTAATTGACCAGTGTGAATTAATTATTTTTAAAAAAAAAACAAAAAGATTAAAAATTAAAGCCTTTCAGTTGTTAATTTGAGCATAAGGTGTAAAATTAAAGACATGTTTGAAATCAAAATATTGTTTAAAAATTTGTTCAAACAAAAAGAGAGCGAAGTGTAAAATTTTAGTAAACAGTAGCATACGTTTGTAAATGTGTTTGCAAACATTAATATATTTGCCATAAATTTCACAAATACTAATAGATAGATTATAAAGGCTAAAATAGATAAAAAAAATGGCGACCATTTTTGAAACAAAGCAGTTAATGATAACGATTAAGTAGAAAATAGTTACCTAAATCGATACTTACTTTGGTTGAATGGTGAAATATGAGATTTGCGTGATCTAATCTTAAGAACAATCAATAACTTACCTTTATTTATAAAGCATTTAACCCTCATCTATAAAACCTTTTACTGAATAAAAGTACAGCTTTTGTAAATAAAATCAAGAGAATAAAACTTGCAATTTGTATTCGCGATTTCAATTGAATTTTTTTAAATTGCGAAAAAGGTTTTGTCCAATTTTTAAATCATTTATATTCATTCAATTTGTCGCTTCTGCTTTATGCTTCTTTGAATTTCTCAACTTTTTGTTCAATTTTATGCGTAATGGCAGTATAAATTTGCTAACTTAATCGGATGAAGAAATCAGCTTATTAGTTGAGATTAAAATTTGAGGAAAACAAAAATTAAGTCTTAGCGTTTCGAATTAATTTGGTGATAAGTTTTTAAATCAAATTAAATAATTATTTATTTTCGATAGAATACAGCGAAAAATACAGCTTTTATAAATAAAATCCAGACAATAAAACTTGCAATTTGTGCACTCAATTTCAATTGAGTTTCTTTAATTGCAAAAGATGCTTTACATAATTTACAAATCATGTATATGCTTTCAATTTGCAAGTTTCCTTCTACTTTGAGTTTCATAATTTTTGTTTCATTTCACATATTAAATAATAATAGTTTAGGCTTGCGGGCTAAATTCGATGAACGATTCGACCCACAAATTGCAAATAAAATTTGAAGAGTATAAATATTAAAACTTGCTGCATAATATATACACGATTTTAATATCATTAATTAACTTGCGAATTATTTGTGTATAATTAATGTGAGAGTTTTAAGCTAATTTGAATATTACAAACTTAAAAATATTATTCTACATATATTATAAAAATGTAGCTTAAATTTGCTTAATTTTTCTTTCAATGTTACTGATGAAATAATTGGTCTAAAAATTGAAAATGAAATTTGAAGATGCAAACTAGGTATTGAAATTTGGCATATTGATTAGTCTTATAAACATTTTAACCTGAATTATAGATTTACTCAGTGAATCATAGAAAAAAAACTATTTTCAAAATAGGTACTTGATAGTAATTTAGCAGAAAATGCAAAATTTTTTGAAGAAAAGGAACTATCAACAAAGTTTGATCCTTAAAGTCTTAAGAATACAAAAAAAAAAAGTTTTGCGGTAGATTACTTTGTATAGCATTTTGAGTGACGAAACTCTATTAAAAAATCCAATTACAACAGGCTCACCTTTAAACTTTAAATGCGTTTTTCGAGAAACATAATTGGAAGGGAATTTAATTGAGAATTTTCGTTTAAACCATTTATCATTATCACATTCTACAATATGGAAATGGAACCACGTAGATTTGATTCTTTATTAACGCTGATTGGTTTTAATTGACAGTTTAATATATAAATCTACATTTAGTTATCGATCAAATAAATAAAAATTAAGATAAAATAATATTTTTAAAGGAAACATGAAATTCTCAAAAAAAAAGAGTTAAAATTTGTTATCTGGAAACTTCAACTGCAAAAAAAAAATAATTTTCAACCTTAAAAACATAAGTATCACGTGACGAGTATTTTATATAGAATAATTACCAATTTAAAACTTATACGAAAATTTGATAACTTAAAAAATAATGTATTATTTGGGTTTAGAAAATATTTTTATTGGATGGAAAACGGCTTTCAATCTGGTTTAAGGGATCATAAAAATCTTTTACTGACGTATTTAGAGTCTCATAAAATACCACATCAGCCTCAGCTTCGAACTTAACTTAATAAATTAGTTCATGGTATCCAAGTTAAAATCTCAACTACGAACTTAGGTAAACAACTTTTGAAGAATTAAATGATTTTGAAACTTAATTTTAAATGAATTAAAAATTATAAATTATTTCAGTTATTTAAAACCATTAGTGAATTATAAATAAAAATTATAACACGGCGAAAAACATTTTGGCAAAGTTACCGTGATGCATGTAAATGGCATTTCTGGTAAAAAAAAACCCAATTTCTGGCTAAAAAAACCAAAATATATAGTATTTAAACCAGTCATTTAGTAATTTTTTAGTTCATATAATAACGGTTTGCTGGAAATTCCAGTTTTCAAAGTTATAGTTCTTATTAGTTTCAAAGTTTAGTAAAAACTACGAAACTGAAAAATCAAATTTCGCTGAGTAAATGGTTTCTATGCCATGCTTTAAGATATTTCAGTGAATTTAAAATCATTATTAGATAATAAAAAAAAAGTATTGCACTGAAAAAAATTGGTAAAATTACCGTAATGTGTGTAAATGACATTTCCGGTTTAAAAAAAACATAATATTTCTGGCTAATAAAACCAAAATATATAGAATTTAAACTAGTCATTTAATAATTTTTTAGTTCATATAATAACTGTTTGCTGGAAATTCTAGTTTTCAAAGTTATATTTCTTATTAGCTTCAAAGTTTAGCAAAAACTACAAAACTGAAAATCAAATTTAGCCGAATAGATGGTTGCTGTGCCATGCTTTAAGGTATCATGATAAAATTTTCAAATTCAACCACATTTATCTACATTTTATTACATACTATTAAACCTTATTTTATAGTTAATTTTACCAAAATCATTATCTAAGTGCTTTGATAATAATTATCAAGCATTGTGGTGTTTTTATAGAGCCAGAAACACGATAAATTTACCAAATACTGGTAGTTTTTGCCTTATTTCTTTTTCCCAGTGCATGCTTAAATTGTTTCTGACTCGAATTGATTGACAAATTTGTAAGAAGGGGAAATTTTAATTATTTTCCCTATTTCTAGCTGCTCCAAAAAATTTGAAATTGTATTAATACTTTAAATAACTATCAATTGCTCTCACGTACAAAACAATTTTACTTTCTACTGCACACAAATATTATTTAAATGTATACAATGATTGACTCCCGGCGAGAAGTGTAAGATTTTTTTAAATATATTCTTAGGTATTTTTCATTTTCTTTCTGAAAATTTCAGGACAAACAAAAGTAAAAATCTAAGCGTTTTATACGGGTGTAAGAAAATAATTATTTAATTCAATTATATATCGCACTGCGAATAAAAGTATGGTTAAATTTACCTGAATAAGGCAAACTTTACCGTGCTTCCGGCTCTATAGAAACACAACAATGCTTGGTTATTATTATCAAAGCACTTAGGTAATGATTTTGGTAAAATTAACTATAAAATACGGTTTTATATTATGTAATAAAATTTGGGTAAATGTGGTTGAATTTGAAAATTTTATCATGATACCTTAAAGCATGGCGTAGCAACCTCTCTTCACAATGATTTTAGTAAATTTAATTATAAAATATGGTTTTATAATATATGATAAAATTTAGTAAAAGTTGTAAAATTTGATAATTTTATCACGATACCTTAGACTCTAAGGTAATAGTCTCAGAGCACGACTAAAAAACCATTTTTTCAGTCAAATTATTTTTCAGTTATGTAGTTTTACTAAATGTGTGCTAATAAGAGCTTTACTTTTGAAAACCTGAATTTCTTGTAAACTGTTACCATATTAACGAATAAATACCAAATAAATGGTCTAAAACCGTAAAATTTGGTTTTTATTGCTAGTATTACGGTTTAAACTAAATATTACCATTACCATGTACTATGTAATTTAACCAGAATTTTTTCTATGTGCGGAACTACTCTGATTTTCTGATAATTCAATTGAATTCTCTACTCAGAGTCCCATAATATTTACCTTAGCGTAAATTGTACACGGTAATAAAAAATTACACGTGCTCGAGTTACACGTGCTCGAGTTACACGCAAATTTTTTATGATTAAAAGATTATATTGTTATCTAAAACATTAATATTCTCTACGCGAATCCTGTTATAAATACATTTCACAAGAGTAGACAAATGGTAATTTATTGCGTCTGTATTTGTATTATATTGTTATCGACAAAAGCAATGTTCTATAAACAAACTGATGATCTGAAATCGGGAAAACGTGGCCGTATCCAATAATTATGTTTATCATAGAATAAATATTTTTTGCTAATTGGAACTCTGTCTTAAATTGTCTGTTAATTTAAATGAATTCTTTGTCAATCAATTTAGATTTAATAATATTCACAGTTGTTTTAACTGTTTATGATTATAAACCAGATATCTTAAGTGAAGTTGGAAATTTCAGTAATGAAAAGATTTTTTGTTGCCATAAGGCAAATATTTGCTGCAAAAATTCTCTTACAAGTGTATATGTATATATAGATATATAAGTAATACAAAAATTATAAATACTTTTGTATTAGTAAAGCCATTAAAACTCTTTCGTTTTCATAAAATGTCATTGGTAAAGAATAGGTGTAGAAATTCTATTTTGGGAATTCAAGGCTGAAAACATACCATTGAATTATAATTAGATTTATATTTCAAAGGAGGAGTTATTTTTAGAATCTTTCCCTCTTTCACTTCCATATTAGGAAGCAATAAATGATTTTCCTTTCCTTAATGCGTAAGGATACAAAGTATTTCAAAGACAGTGCCTTTTTACCCCAATCTGTGTTTGTATAAAACGTAGGAACACTAGTTTTTGCGTGTCTTTTTCATCATGTTGTGATCCTCATAAGTTGTTCCAGAATTGTCAGAAATCTTGTTCACCCCCTCCCTTATGGAGTGCGGATGTGAACTGTTATAAACACCACCCTTCCTTTAAATAAATCTATTGATAAAGTATTCTGCCTGACGACTGCGTTATTAAAGATGAATACAACAGTGATAACAGGATGCAGCCCTGTTNTATATATATATATTGTTTAATAATATATCCTTCCATAAATTCATAATCAAGGATAAGAAAAAGTCAGAAAATTAGAAAAACAATTTTATATAGTTTCTATATGTTTAATATTTGTTGACACACAAATCTAATATGAACTAAACTGTATTTTTGACATTAGTCACTAGTGTTTTTACATGATATAAAACTGATTTTGGTATATTTCCCAAAGTAACGTCACAATGAAAACACAATTTTGAAACTATTATGTTAACGAACTGTTTTTCTTGGGGATTTAATCGGGAAATTGATTTACTACGATGTAAAAACATAAACCCACTACATAAACCCACTAAAACCACTAACTCCGTCTTAAACAGTATGTTAATTAAACGAATTTTCCGCCAATCAATTTAGGTTTAATAATATTTACAGTTGCTTTAACTATATGCGATAATAAACCAGATATCTCAAATGGAGTTGGAAATTTTAATAATGAAAATATTAAATTGTTACCAAAAGACTAATATTTGTAACAAATTCATAAGTAACTCTTATATGAAATGTTAAAAAAATGTTAAAAAATGTTAAAAAAATAAATGTTAAAATTTTTTTAAAAAATATGTTAAAAGAATTCTGAAAATGTTAAATATTAAAAAATGACAAATGTTAAAAGAATGCAAATATCATGTATTGTTATCGATAAGATATAAAAATCCTTCTATAAATTGGCTAAATTTCCAATCCACCAAGAATTGGTAAAAAGATAAAGAACTACAAAAACATATTAAATAGTTTCTATAAATGTAATATTTGTTCTACATAAATATGCAAATAGAACTAAAATTGGATAAAAATGAAAAGGTTTTGAAAATAATATTATATTTATGCCAATAATTTGATATCAATATACTATCAATCACTAATGTCTTCAATTAATGATGAAAATTGATTTTGTCGTCATATTTTCCAAATTAACGTCACAATAAAAATACAGTTTTGAAACAACTATGTAAAGGAAGTGTTTTTGTTGAATATTTAGTTCGGAAATTGAACCTTCCAATGATCCTTCAAAAAATTAATAATCAAGCTTTGGTGAAAAATCAAATTACAGGAAAAATTTGATATAATTTCTAAAAGTTTAATATTTATTCAGCATTAGTATTTAAATGCAAAAAATAGGAAAAAAAATTAAGAATTTTGAAAATAATATTATATTGTTATCAATAATATTAACATTAGTTGTACTAATGTTCTTATCAATTAATAACGTAAAAGTGATTTTGACGTCATAATTGGAATATTTCACAAATTAGCGTCACAATAAAAATACTATTTCGAAACAATTATGTCAACGAACTGTTTTTGTTGGGAATTCAGACAGGAAATTGATTTACTACGATTTAAACACGTAACTTCCTATTTTATTTGAGAACAAGGTAGTAAAATACGTTACTAAGAAATTCAAGTGATTTATCTACTTGATCCATCCTAAACGTAAGGAGAATTATCTCATTAAATAATAGCGTTGAAATTATATTAATCTTTATTCTTCTTTTTCAGCGTAATACTTACGTATGCATGTTAAAAAGACAATATCCATTAAATATTATTTTCATAATTAGGAGATGAACGTATAAACATACAAGCTCAAAATGAAAAAAATTGGATTAAAAATTCCTAATTATAGGATTAATCAAATTTTTGTAGTATTTCTCCGGCAAGTTGAATTTTAATAATGAACTAGCATTAATTAAGAAAATTAAAAAGGACTTTTTATAAGTATAGAAGATTAAACGATATTAAAACTATTTTTTTATACTTTTATTTATTTTAGACAACAAAATAATTATAAGCACTGCAATCGTTCTTTTTTTTGTGCGTGTAAAATAAAGCGTAAATAAGCTTTTAAACTTTAAAAATGTAAAAGAAATTGGTTTTTAATTACCTTGATTGCCTTTGATTATTATGAAAGCATTAGAAGGATAAGCAAGCAAAGAAAAAATCAAAGGGTTTTAAATGCTTATTAACTTTCAGTAATTATAAAATGCAGGTATTTTTTAAAAGTATTGTTATATTTCTGTTAATCCCCACTCTAAAAAATCAAAAGTATATTTGAAACTAATTAATAAAAAACACACTTTGTGGTACTTAATTTTGCAATTCTGAGATTTGATATTAATGACTTTTAAGTAATACCCAGGTTATTGATTTTTTAATACTTTTAATTCATTTATAGTTTAATTAATAACTTCACGTGATATGCACGTAAGGTATATCGAATAAATATACATACATACATATATATATATATAAAAACGTTAGACAGAATCAGAAATTAAGATTAACCTGACATCGAACAAAGTTTTTCTAATTCCGGGTGGAAAAATTAATCCTATGATAATAACGTTAAACGATAAACGAAGAAGTATGTATATCGGTTAAGGCCAAGTATATCTAATACACACTGCGCAAATACATTCATGATACAAGCTGATAAAACAATCTGATATTTAACGATAGAAGCATAAGTATTTTTATTTCCGCAAAAGCTATAAATTGACATCATGGAAAGTTTTTTTTTTATAATTTATTTTAGGAATGTAGCTTTTAAGACATAGCGCTAAGAGAAACAGCTATTCATGATTAAAATTTCTTTTATTTACGAAATCAATTATTGAAGAATTTTTGAATAAGAAGGGGAAAAAAATTTAAAATTACTTTGTTTGGATTTTATATTTTGTACAAATTCTGATTCATCTTGCAGATTTTTTCTGATAATTATTAGACTGCTTTCATAATTAAAAAATACCAAAATGTGCTTGTAATTAGAGAGCCAGAAAAATATATATAGGCAAAAGGAACAATGGTATCACATCTGCGTAAAAGTGTTAAAAGGAACTTATATAATTTTACGCATAATTACAAATATGCCTCATAAGTAAAGAAACATTTTGAAACTTCATTATTTAATACAATTAGAAAATTATTTAGTTTTATATTAAAGACGGAATANTCATTCATATATATATATATACTGCTAACTATAATTTTCAAAGTATGCCTGTGTGTGAGTAGGTGTGCTGTAAGTGTATTATTATTAATCTATACAATCTATACACATATTAAAATGGATGCAAAATAAAAAATGCGTACAAAGAAAATCACATTCTGAGACATATTTTGAGATATTAAAACGAGGCTAAAAAACTCGGAATAAATAACATCTCTCTTAATATTTTAAGTTTTTTCTTAACGTTTTATTCTAGAAAGTAACTAACAAATGATTGGCTGCATGACTGTAAAATCTTCAGAGAACGGAACTTAATTGGCGTGAAGCATCCTAGGAAAAAGCGATGCTCTGATAAGGAATGTCATATAAAGGATAAGACGAAGTTTTTAAGGTCGAACACTTAAAAAAAAAGGAAGCACTTAGACATCTTAATTCACCATTGTTAAAAAATCTTAATTTACTGAGCTAATCAACGAAGAGTTGCCAGCAAAAGTAGCAACATTCGTAAAAGTAGCATTGCGTGATAAATTGCAATTTAATATATCTTCAAGATATAGTCCTCTTTTGTTTCTGTCTGGAAAAAATTAAGACTTGTCATATTGTATTTAAATATGCATCTGTATCAAGTTGTGTGAAAAAATCTAATTAATCAAAAACTATTTTGGAAAGTTTTACTAAACATGAGTATCATTTTTCTTTGTGGTTGGAGAAAAGATTTCGAGATAGGAGAAAATAAAAAAAGAGAGAAAAGATGGAGACAAGGTCATTATTTACCGCTAATCCTTGTTGACATAACATATAGTGCACTGTTTGAGTGACGTCAGCAGCATGGAGATCATTGTGGTAAGGGTTTTTGTGACGGGTATAACCGTGCAGTACTTGTGTCATGAAATTTTCCATTGTAGAGGTCGGAACCTGCAAATATAAAATAATACGAATAAAATATTAATAAAAATTAAATATAAATGAGATTCAATGTCAATAAATTAGGCTCTCAGACCAAATCACTAAGTACTTAATAATACGAGGCCAGTCCCGAAGAAAAGTTCTAAAATTCTTTAATTTTCTAGAATATTTTATCCTTTTTAACCCTTTAACGCTGAATTTTTATTAAGCATATTTTCCTTACTTTTTTCATTATTTTATAATAATTTAGGCCAAAATACGTAAAAAATATTATATTTAGCATTTTAGTAATTTATGGTTATGAAGTACAGCATAAAACAACGTTGTTTTTTTCTGCGTTAAAGGTAAAATCTTCCCAACACGTCTTACTTCCAAACAATAACTTTTTCAATTTGCAGTTATTTAGATCTAATAAAAACTGTTTTTCATTATTGAATTGTCTTTAATCAACAAAATCAATTATTGATAAATGCTTAAATATGACTGAAAAAAATTTAAACTACATTTTTTTTTTGGATTTTATATTTTAGTACAAATATAATTCTGATAATCTAAAAGATTTTTTTAAAAACTATTAGACTGTTTTTTATAATTGAAATATACCAAAATATTTTTTACTAGTAATTAGAGCCTATCCTTCATTCAATAATTTTTCCGTTCATATGGTAATGATTAACCTGAAATTCTGCTTTTCAAAATTACCGTTCTCACTGCGAAAAAATTAGTTACAAAACTGAAAAGCAAATTTAACCGAATAAATGGTTTTTATGGCCTTTATTCAAGGTCATTTTTTAACACTTTAAGGTATCGTGACAAAGTTACCAAATTTTACCATGTTCTGGTAGTTTTCTCAGTGTGTAACATATCTATCTATCTATCTATCTATCTATCTATCTATCTATCTATCTATCTATATATATATATATATACCTTCCCGTGACGTCCTTACATTTAGCCTCGTTGTAGAAGCTGAGTCATATTTTGGTAAAATAGTATTTCAATTTGTGCAGCTTGTCTTTGGGGGTGAGGTTGGACTATAGAGTGTGTGATAATGTTCTATTAAAACTATTGTAGAAGAGTGATGTCGGGAGACTGATACGTCATGGATTTAAATACGAAGTTGTTGCCGTAGTTGAGTTTCATTTACGTTGCACTAGAGCTGCACAATGGGCTATTGGCGACGGTCTGGGAAACATCCCTGCGGATGATCTGAAGACATGCCATCACAATTTTGATCCTCTGCAGAGGGGATGGCACCCCAGCTGCGGTAGCCCGACGACCTGCACTCGAAGTCTAGCCCTTTACGGAAGAACAGTTTAATGAGGACCAATACCGCACACCCTCGGTGTCTACGCAGACTGATCCAAGTGGTATCCCACCCTCACACTGACCGCAACCAATGATGCTTGACTTCAGTGATCTGCTGGGAACCGTGTCTTAACGATCTGTCCACTGCGGGACTAAATGCAAAGTGATGATCATGTAGAAAGGTAGAAAAATGTTTTACTTTAAAACGGTATAGTACATTATAAAAAAGGGTTTCTCAAAGTTTACAAAAAAGGTGCACAATAGTTCCGAAACAAATATGATCGATTTTTTAAACCCCATGTACTCAAAATTGAAGCAGCATAAACTCATGTTTGAGCAAAACGCATAGATCAAAAGTTAGGTGGAGAGAGAAATATGAAAGAGAAATGTTCGTTGGCTACGAGTAGGATTCTAGCAAAGAACCTACGGGTTCGTAGTAGAATGCTCTAACCACCACAGTTGTACACCATAGGATAGTTAGGAAGCTTTATATAGTGACCACCGCTATAACGCATCATGACCTAATAATTTCCGATTTCAATGGTACAATGAGTTGCAATTTGGAAAATATGGTCCATCAGCTTAATCAGAAGATCGGCAATTTTAATTTAACTTTTTGCTTATTTTGATGTATCTTAAAAACTTTTAAGCGAATGGAATGTATGTCAAGATGTGCGTTTTTTGACCATTCTTCTGAGAAATTGTTTACAGGAAAACTGAGCCCTCTCAAGTCAGTTATTATTGTTGTTTCTTATGCCACTTGCCACACTAGCAAGCCTGCTTGGTGAAACCGAGCTAATTTAAGGTAGAGGGTGCGTTTCCTGTTTTTCAGTGGCGCCGAGATATGCCATCTAAGCGCCATCTATGGCCAAGAATTCGTCTTCAGCCACACACACAACACAGCCCGTTTTATGGAGCGGACTCATTCATATATCCATTCATTCATCCACAGATCGTAATTTTGACCTGAATCAGAGAATGATCGATCTCCAATCCAGTATCCTCAGAAGTATTGATTTGTTATGGGAACATGGAGGACTTTGCGACTCGACAGATTTAACGTGCATCAGTCATGATTTACCACACTGGGAGTCTTCGGCTGGCGGGGTTCGAATCCGTGAACTCTCGGACATGGGCCCAGCCCCCTACCAACCAGGCTATCCCGGCCTTGTCAAGTCAGAAATATTCTTATCAGTAGAACGAAATGAATCAGTTAAATGAAAATATTCAAATCATTATCTTTAAAACTCTAAACATTGCCTTTCAAAAAAATTTAAGAGCTGAGGTAACAATTAATAATGTTTGTATTAATAATTACAAATAACTTTAAAGTATGAAAAAAAATCTATATTTTAACTTATTTCAAATTCTATGAATAAGTGAAAATCTAATCACTGAAATTAATTCTAAATACTTGAATGACCATGATTTTGTTTTTCAATCGCTGTTTCCATTTAAATTAGACAAATCAATTCACTATAACTATTTCCGCTTTTTATCGACACGTATATCTCTTTTCAAGATTATTATGCAACGTTGGATAAGAAAAAAGAAGCTAATTGGAAGCTCTTTTAAAATCTAAATTAAGTTTGTTCATTTAACAAAAGAAATGCGCCTTTTTAAGAAATGCATTACTATTATTATGCAAATAATAATTTTAAGATGGAGCTTGAAACTAATTAGTATTTTTACAGCTCTTACAATTAAATGATGTTGTGCAATAAGATGAAAATCGGAGATACGCACGTTTTTCTCTAATAGCATAAACTGGGGGATAGAATCATGCAATAAACATTTTTATTGCTTGATTCTATTTCTAAATACCAAGGGCATTTCAAGGTCACTTTCTATTATAAGTATATATTTATGACGCGNGACATGCCATCACAATTTTGATCCTCTGCAGAGGGGATGGCACCCCCTCTGTGGTATCCCAACGACCTGCACTCGAAGTCTAGCACTTTACGGTAGAGCAGTTTAACGAGGATCAATACCGCACAACCTCGGTTTCTACGCAGACTGATTCAAGTGGTAACCCATCGACACACTGACCGTAGACAGTGATGTTTGATTTCAGTGATCTGCTGGGAACAGTGTCTTAACGATCAGTCCACTGCAGGACTAAATGCGAAGTGATGATCATGTAGAAAGGTAGAAAAATGTTTTACTTTAAAACGGTATTGTACATTGTAAAAAAGGATTTCTCAAATTATGCTAAAATATGGCATAATAGTTCCGAGACAAATATGATCGATTTAAAAAAAACCCATGTTCTCAAAATTGAAACAGCATAAACTCATTTTTGAGCGAAATGCAAAAACCAAAAGTTAGGTGGAGAGAGAAATATGAAAGAGAAATGTTCGTTGGCTATGAGCAAGATTCGAACAAAGAACCTACGGGTTCATAGTAGAATGCTCCAACCACCATAGTTGTACGTACACCGTAGGAGAGTTAGAAAGCTTTATATAGCTATGGCACATCATGACATAATAATTTCCAATTTCAATAGTACAATGTTGTTGTTGTAATTCATTTACGTCGCACTAGAGCTGCACAATGGGCTATTGGCGACGGTCTGAGTAACATCCCTGAGGATGATTCGAAGACATGCCTTCACAATTTTGATCCTCTGCAGAGGGGATGGCACCCCCGCTTCGGTAGCCCAACGACCTGCACGCGAATTCGAGCACTTCACGGTAGAACAGTTTAACGAGGATCAATATCGCACACCCTCGGTCTCTAAGCAGACTGATCCAAGTGATAACCCACCCGCACACTGATCGTAGCCAGTGAGGCTTGACTTCGGTGATCTGCTGGGAACCGTGTCTTAACGATCAGTCCACTGCAGGACCAATAGTACAATGAAGCGCGATTTGAAAAATAGGGTTTCTATTGCTTAATCAGGAGATTGGTAATTTTATTTTCATATCCTGCTTATTTTGATGTATCTTAAAAACTTTTGAGCGAATGGAATGTATATGTTAACATGCGTGTTATTTAACAATTTTTCTGAGAAATTGGATTGACTGAGAAATTGAACTGATCGTTAAGACACGGTTCCCAGCAGATCACCGAAGTCAAGCATCACTGGCTGCGGTCAGTGCGCGGGTGGGTGACCCACTTGGATCAGTCTGCGTAGGGACCGAGGGTGTACGGTATTGATCCTCGTTAAACTATGCTACCGTAAAGTGCTCGACTTCGGGTGCAGGTCGTTGGGCTACCGAAGCGGGGGTGCCATCCCCTCTGCTGAGGATCAAAATTGTGATGGCATGTCTTTGGATCTGTCAGGGATGCTTCCTAATCCGTCACCAATAGCCCATTGTGCAGCTCTAGTGCTACTGCAGCTCTAGTGCAAATGAAACTACAAACTACAAACAAAAAAGAGAAATTGCTTGCAGTGAAACTGAGCCTTGTCAAGTCAGAAATATTCTTATCAGTAGAACGAAATAAATCAGTTAAATGAAAATATTTAAATCATTATTTTTAAAACTCTAAACATTGCTTTTCATAAAAATTTACGAGCTGAGCTAAGAATTAATAATGTTTGTTTTAATAATTACAAATAACTTTGAAGTATGAAAAAAAAATCTATTTTGTAACTTATTTCAAATTCAATGAATAAGTGAAAATCTAATCACTGAAATTAATTCAAAATATTTGAATGACCATGATTTTGTTTTACAATCGCTCTTTCTATTTAA